AGCGCGCGCGGCGGAGCCTTCAATGTGAGAATCAGCGCGGAAAAAGAAGCGCGTCTGGATGTGGGATTTAACACGGATCTAATTAATTTCGCGGATTTGCACGGAGATAAATATTTCACTTGAAGTCCACGTGTGGCATAATCTGTACGTGTGTGTTAAGCGCGGTTGTTTTGACAAGAATAGGCCTCGAACGAATATGCCTCTTTACGAATTGCAACAAAAAAAAAGAATTGTCGAGCTTACGTAACACACACAGACACAAAAGATTACTAATCAACACGCCGTTTTACATTTCTTTGTAAAAAGGTAAAGGCGCTTTTTGTGCGCTTTTCAATTTGAATAATTTATTCGTTAATTTCACGTGTCACGTGGACGTGAAATCCAATTAGAATCACAACGCTTTTGTTCGCGATGCATGCTTCCTTGTCGTGATTGTATCAAGTAAATCTCGCGCGCGTTTGTTCCTAATTGTTCACGGTAGATTTGTCTATTTATCGTTCGTGTTAAGCCATTTACGTGTCGTGCGCTTGCGGCTCATTGAATTAATAATAGAGTCTAGACACGGAAACCGTCGGCGTGATTAATTCACTGCTGTAGATGCGCGACTAATAGTTTCCTCGAGAGCGTTCAGAATCACAGTGGCTCGCGCGAATTTCATTGCGGGAATGTGTATCGCCATCGTCGATACGTCGTAGCAATTAACATACGAATCTCGTATGGAGAGTCTTACTTCGACGTTTCCCGTCGTATCCTCGTTCGAATTTAAGTCGCACGTCTCGATTTGAATTTGCGCACTCTCGGTGATACGTCGGACACGATGTGTATCGTTAGGAGCGATTTCCTCGCGCGTTAATTTATCAGCAATCATAGATATTCGCCATAGATTCGTCACGGACTCGAAGATTGTACGAGCATTCGGGAGAACTGTGTTTTCGGCACGGAGATCGCGCGCGTACTGAAAATCCCAGCAACCACCCCATCGACCCTCCACTGTCCGCCCCCGTTCCAATACAGACAGCCGTATATATAACGTGTGTAAAACGCAAGGGCTACATATTTCGCAGTGGTAAAGACAGAAATGCAATTATTATAGTACGATAACGACTGGTTTCTCCGCACGAGATTTTCGGTTTCTATCTTGTCATTTTTCGATTGTGCTCGTTTCACAACCAAAATATATCGCTCGCATGATTTCAATATCTCACGTGACTTTTTGTTCAAATACAAGATGCTTAATAAGCGCAACATGAGTGAGTTTTCTTTCCAAAATATATTGAGTCTTTCTACTTTCAAGTACTTATTCAAGTACAATTGCAGCTAACGCGCGTCGGTCGTTGGCGCGGAAAGTCATTCCGAGTTATAACAGTTGTATCACCTTCCGTCTTCTATCCAAATTATAGAGATACCCGCATTACAGAGGTTACAGAGTTTCCAGAGAGAGACAGGAGTAAAAATTAGCTAGAATATGAAAGAGTTATAAAAAGTAATAAATTAATAGGAGTATGAAATTTTTTTACGTATATCTGTTAACAATATCTTGGTATAAAAAAATTAGATTTCATGGTGAATATTAATATTACTGTGTTCACTTCATGTAATTCTATTCTGCAATAAAATCACGTTTCAACGATGATCATCCTGACTTCAACAAAAATGATCTTAAATCAGTTTCAATATATTTGTTTACTTATTAGTGTTATAATTACCGATTCACGGAGCGGATTTAAAAAAAAGAATATTTCGTGAAATAGAAATTCTAAAAAATTAAATTTAATTTTTTCACTGAAAAATTCGAGCTTGTAAAATTAAAAAATAAAAAATGGTTTTGAAACGGGAAGCCTTTTTAAATTGATAACTAACTAATAATAAAATAATAATTAAATTGATAACTAACTAATAATAAAATAATAATTAAATTGATAACTAATAATAAAATAATGTACTGATATTGATTTTAGGTTACTTCTGTTGATATCAGGATGGTTATCGTTAAAACGTAATTCTTTTGCAGAATAGAATTAAAATAGACATAGTGATGTTGATATTCGCTATGAAATCTAATTTTTTTATATCAAGATATTACATACACAACATTATCTACAGACATACGCAACAAAATATTTATATATACTCCTATTAATTTACAACTCCCTGAATTTTACCTAATTTTTATTCTTGTCAAGCTCCTATAATCCCTTAAGTTGACCTGCATTGATTGAGTCGGATCAATGATTCGAGTACCAATGCGTTGAATTAACGCCCGTCATTACAAATTGCTGAAAACAAAATTGTAATCGCTAGAAGCGACATTTAATGCGATTACATTACGCGCCTCATAAACGAGCATAAGTGAGCGATCAAAATTTAATAATGATGTATCTCGATGAAACATACCTCTAATTTAACTGTTTATCAACAGTATCATCTGCATTTCACGCAGCAATCATATTTTTGCAAAAACAGAATTCATTCTTCTGTCTCTTCGCTTCCTCTCATTTACGAATCTCGTGAATTCGCGAATGCGTTTTAATTTTAAATTTGATCTTCCGCGTGATCTCGTGCAATCATACAACGTTACTAATATAAATGTCTTACGATCGGAAAATAGAAATCTCGATCTCTACGCGACGATAAATATATTTCAAACAGTGATTGGTCATTGCATAAGTAGCCGGATAGTAGGAAATCGATATTAGTCTACTTTAGAACTTCATAAAAGCCGATTACTACTACGTCGGGTGCTTCCGTATAAATAAATTGCATCAAGGATCCATCTCAGCGAAGATCTTATAAATATGTCTCGAAATCGTGTTTCAGACTTATTCGAACTACGAGCTACTGCTGCTGTTTCGCTTTACCGTTCGGCTCCCATCCTCGTTACTTTCGAGCCGATCGATCGTTGCCATATCTGCTTTAACGTTATAACGCACGGCGTAGCAATAAAACGGAGCACACAGTATGGAAGAGTTGTGTTGCCGTCCGTAATCCCACGGGCCGTAGATCATCGTCCGGCCGACGTACACAGGCCGGGAATGTTGACTGAGGTTTAGGCTCAACGCCTTCTTCAGTTTATGCAAATGCGAATCCGTTTCGCCGAGGTACCGAATCCATTTGCTTGACCCTTTCAATGCTAAATTTGAATGCGGCCATCGCGCCGCGCCGTGTGCTGACTCAGGCAGAGCAATTTCAGGCACTTTGGAGCTATTGGTCGGCAGAACAGATAGAGACGCAAGATGGAAGAGTATTAAAAGTTTAATAACGCCTTAGTCTAAATGAATTTTCTCTCTTATCGACTAATCCACGATCCCGATAATTTCTTCGTAAGCGTAGCCTTCGCGCGCTTGTTTGTGAAGAGTGGCTATATAGGAAGTAGATTTATGATCGCAGCGGTACTTTCAGACAACGTTATCCAGTTAGGATAGCAAGGAGAACCTCGTCGGAATTATTGAAACTGTGATTCGCGAAAATACACCCGATAGAACATATTTGATGTCGCTAAATAAAATTCGTGTGACGTTATCTCTGGATCGATGAAGTTCACGGTGCAATTTCGCTTTTCCAAAACTAGAGAGTCCTTTGAAACATCGACAGTTATCGTTGCAAGAAATCGCCCACGCTGCGGCTACGCGATGTAATTATCAAAATGGGATTAAAACTGCAAGGAGATGTCGTAAGCTTTAAGATGTGTAGGAGGTAGTTGCGAGATTCATGCTTTCGTACGGCTATTATCAATCCGCGTCTTTCCAATGTATTTATAACTCAGTGAATATTAATATTAATGGGATACCAGCAGATGATATGTTATACATTCAAAGTGAGATATATAAGCCCGTTCGGATGTTATAACAAATGTTTGACTTTCTCACTCATCACTTTTGTGAGTACGAATCATAGATTTTCTTCTTGAGTCTGCTTCCCGATAAGCCATACACTCGAACAAAGTTTAAATTTGCCGAGATCGGTCATGCGGTTAAGGATTCGATCCATTTGCGCCTTTTCAGTGCTCTCAGATATATTCCAACACGCGCGTCTTATTTTTATTTTTAGAAAAAAATATTAGTTTCTCTCTCCCTTTTGAAGCAATTGTCCAATCTAATGCCGATGATTTGTTCATTATGAGAAAGGAGACGCTTAGACCATGCATATTGAAGCTTGTTGGAAGCTTGAATTGAAAACATGAGTCAGTGCACTCGCACCCGTGTACACGATACGTCACACATACACACCGAGAACTGAAAATCCAAAAGACAAAAGAACAATTTTTTGCTTAAAGAAAAATCTCATGCCCAGGTGGTCTTTTGAATACATGTGTCCCGTAAATTCAATGAGTACTTGTGTGCAGTGCACATAGTGATGCACGTTAATGATGTCGATGCACTCGCGTTCATAAGATCTCACAAAGTATGATTCTTCTCTTTCTTCTACGTAATAAGCAGTCCGATCTATGCTGTCAGCTACGTAAGCGAACAAATACGTTTCTCAAATGTTATAGAGAAATTGGACTGTGATAAATTTCAAGTTTATCTTTTTCATTTTGTAATATAATGTAAAATCGTGTAAATTTGTGACGTGTGTCGACACATAAAAATTTATAATTAATAATATCGATTGACATAGCTGTACTACCAGCGAACGTAATAATATTCCTAATAAATGTTATTGTCGAATTGGTGTCCAATTAAAAATTCAGATGCCGTTACTTAATATCTCAATTAAACAAATCCAACCCATTTTTTATCTTGGAAAATTCTAATATTTAATAAATTTCCATCATTAAAATTTATCACAATCGTTATCCAAATCAGTTATAATCTATATTGCACTTAAGTTAAGACTTATCTTTGTCTCTTACTATTTAAAGTTTTAAATAATATATATATATATATCATTAAATGATCAATGTAATTTTGTATATCGTAAGAGATCGAGTGAAAGAGAGAGAAATAATGGATTAAAATTAAAAATTAAACGAAGATAAGACGTAATGCAAGATAGACTTTTGCATATATATTATAAATTCTTACAAATTATTACACTTTACAGGTACAAGTATACATTTTATAATATCACGTAAATGCATGCTTCACGCCTAAATGCATGTTTTAATTAATAATAATTATTATTATGTTTTAATTATCCGTTTCATTCATAATATCTTCAAAATCAATAGTAGAAATTTTTTCTATTTGATTGCACGAAAGTTTTTTACTTGTTTCGACCTGTATCCTTTGATTAATGGGGATGTATGATTCATTTATATCACCGAATTCATCACCAGAATCGTCTGTTTTTTCTTCCTCGTCCTCAATACATGCATGTTCTTTCATATTTAACATTGAAGCTTCTGACAGGTCGATTTTTGTGCTTCCCTCTATAGGTTGGTTCGTAGAAGGGCAATAACTTCTAATATTAAATTCAAAAATTCGTTTGCTACATATATCTTCTATTACTTCTGTTGTATTAAGATCACTATCTTCATTTTCGCTCATGAAATCATTAGGTGAAAGTTCATTAAACATTCTGTCAAGCGTGTTATTTAATCTTGAATGTATCTTTCCTACTCCTAGTACTCTATCAAATTGTGGTCCACGTTTTAGATGTTTCGTATTCATAATTGTATTTTTAAAAGTATTCTTTATTTCCAACTTACTCACTTCAGTCGAAATATTTTTCTTCCTTGATCTTTTTGGTGAAATTGACATTTCTTCAAAGGAATCTTCTAGCGATATAGGACGATTTTCAGAAATAAATTCATCGATTTTTCTATTATTTTTTTCTATGACTTTTTTTCTTGTCTTCTTTTGGCACAATTTTGCACTATCTTTTTTTTCAGTATTATTCTCCATTACATCCGTCATAGCCTTCTTTTTTCGAGAATTTGTAGTTCTTTTTTTTGCCTTTGTATTTCGAATGCTTTCAAATGTTTCAACTAGTTGTGGATAACACGTTAAAACTAAATTTTGTGGCTCAATGCTGGTCAGCAAATTATCATCTACATCATCGTCATCATTATTCTTTTGTGTCTCCTTTTTATAATTTTTTAACATTTCTAATACACTGTGTTCTTTCTTCCAAATAATTTCGTAACTGGCTATAGATCTGATGTTACGTATCTTTCTTATTTCACTGGGAATAAATAAGTTTGGCACAGATAAACGTTTGTCAAGTGTAAGATTTGGTAGATGTAAAAGTTGCCATCTAGTGGTTAACGTAAATATTTTTTCAAATGCATATTGTGGATCCCAGCATAAATGTTTGTCCATAAAATCCTAACGTAACATAAGATTGTGTTTATACACGTGTGTATTTATACACACTTATCGTGATGTGATTAACATATTATATGTATAACAATTTGTGTAATATATATATATATATATATAACTACTTACAATAAATTGACTGACTTGAGGTTGCTTCCATTCTATATCCAGTTTAGTTGGAACTGCATCTCTCCGAATAAGAAATTCCTCCATTAATTCCTGCTTTGGGAAAGTTTCGTCACGGAGTGCTTTCTTTCTTAGTGATATCTCATTTAACATCACTGCTCTCTTTTCTCTATATAGATAAAAAATTATAATGTATTAGGTTTATAATTATAATGTATTATCTCTTAAAGTTTATAATATATTATTTTTAAAGAAATATATAAAAATAATAATTTACTTGTAGTCATCATTGCACTTTATGATGGTATCACATTCAGTGCATCCTGATTTTGTGTGCTTTTGTAATTTTCCTTTATGACCACACGACGTACATAAATCGGGATTTAATAAATTTGACTCTATTTTATCTAACTTTGTGTCTGTTCTCCATTCTTGAAATCTAAAAAAAAAAAGGAAAGCTGTTTATTTGCAGTGACAAAACAACGTGATAAAAACTTGGTGTTTAGTGCATTTAATATACAAACCTTTGCAAGACATCATCATCTTCTACAGTCTTGAAAAATTTTAAAGCAGCTTCTTTTCCAACACCATTTATTCCTTCATCATAATCACAGCCGCATAATAAAGCTAATGCAATCATTTTATTTCGTCCTAAGTTCAATATCTTTTCTATCTGGTCTATACAGTAGATATCCACAAAACCACCTGTAGCTCCTTGAGTACTTATAGAGAAGTTTCTGTATACTATTCTTGCGCCATATAAGAAGCAGTCACTGTCTTGACTTATACATCCATCGACAAGCTAAAAATATACATGAATATATGCTTAAAGATAAAGTAGTAAAGAATACTGAATTAATATAACCAATATTTTTTGATTGAGGAATAAGATTTATAATTAAGTTTAAGAAATATTTCAAATATTTAAATGTTTACAGATAACTACAAACAAAGCATTTTTTATTTTAACAAAAACTTACCCCATCTTCATTTAAATAAGCACACATGGCTTCTGCCTCACCATGGCCCTGTACACAAGCAATGCCCATATATCTCAACATTTCTCTACATTCATTTAGAACCCGTTGAAATTGTGATCTTCCTACTTTTTTAATTTTCTTTTCACGAAATCCATGACGAATGTCATTCCTTCGAGCAATAGTTTTGTGTTTTAGATCAGGTGCCTTTCCCTCTAGTACAAACACAGGGGATATTCCTTGTGTGAGAAGGAATGCTGTACGAAAATATAGATTCCTAAAATAATTTAAATTACATAAATAACATTTGTTAAGTACAATGTACTTGGTACAATAATTATATATAAATATATTTCATTACAATTTTACTTTAAACAATGTAATTCAAATTAAACAATACAAAGTATTTCTATATAAAAAAAGTATTTCTATATAAGAAAAAGAGAATTGAGAATTTACCTTAGATACATTTTCGATTGTACAGCATTGTCCACGACTGTTTGACTGTCAACAACCCATCCACTTAAATCAATCGCGATAGTTTTGCCTTGTAACTCGTATAATGGTTTTCTATCGCACAAAGGCGATAAAATGTTCCAAAGTTCTTTTACACCCATTTCAAAATACAACGTTCGTATTTTGAATTGAATTCATCTCATTAGAGATCAAAGTCCATCTAACTTGTTGCAACTTTGCAGTTCATCACCTCCCCCTCTCTCTTTCTCTCAGTACTGGTTACAGGGACCCCTTTTGGTTAATTCCCAAACATCAATTTCCGGCTGTTCATCGCCGCCATGAGTAAATTTTACGGGAGCGGTGCACTTGGACACGGTGCATTTGGACACAGCCAATCACAGCACCGTGTGATTAGAGACATTTGTAGGGTCCCTTGGAACAGCGACTTGTGATTGGACTGTGTCCAATTGCCCCGTGTCCAACTGATATACACCCGATTCTGATAGCATGTTCGACTGGCTCTGGGTTAACCCATTCTGGGTTATTCAGTCTGCGTTTATTGATCGAATAAGTACTTATGAGCTTTATGATTAGCTAGTAGAGATTTATGACGTCATTCATCGCTTTCGGAGCGATTAACCCAGGGCCAGTCGAACATGCTATGAGAGAAAGGTTAAAGTGCCAATCATAGGAGCGTTCCAGCATCAAGCGTTAAAGCGTTAGCCAATCAACGTATCAGGTTCCAGAAGTATACGTGTAGTTCTTGCGGAAAGTGGCACGTTGATTGGCTACCGCTTTAACGCTTGATGCTCCTATGTAAAGACATCTTTATGGCTCCTGCACACAGGACGCGATAATGCTTGCCGCACGGCAGAAGTTCGCGCAACAGCCAATCAATATGGTGCTTTCCGTAATAACCTTCTAGCTCTTACGGAAAAACAACATATTGATTGGCTGTCGTGCGGATTTCCGCCGCGCGGCAAGCATTACCGCGTCTTGTGTGCAGGAACCATTAGAGTGACAGTGACAGGACGTAAAGATTAAATAGGTGAGGATTTTAAAGCTAAATTGTATCTTTTTTTGTTTGATAAGTATTTACATGTGTTAATATAATTATTTAAACTTGCATATATCTCTCAGGATCATGGAGCTCCACGCCCTGAGCCAATCAGCGCGCAGCCGGTTACGTAACGAGTTGACGACTCTCTGATTATAGGTTCTCTAGTCTCTACTCAAGGGTCTCTAGCGCCTGGCTCTGGCCTTTGAAATCAGGCTGGTGGCCGTTGCCATGCTTCTTTCTAGAAGCCACGGAACATATGATGTCGCTACATTCGTTGCGCGCGCGCTGTGAACAAGTTTCATAACCTGTCATACTCGTTAACTTTAACGATTAATATCTCGCTTTACAAAGCGGAGCGACGATTTTAACTTTCATATTTGGTTTCTACGTGTAAAAATACACACAATATGAGTTAAGCCAAATCGGAGGTGAAAGCTCTAAACTATATAATTACTCACTTTTTTAAAGATGCAATAAGTAAATTTTTTAATTCAGCAACAATATCTCATTAATGACATGAAAAAATATTGAAAACAAATATATATGATTAAAATAAATATTTGATAGGATATATTACATGTTTAAAAAACATCTGTGAGTCTGCTTATTTTTCTCTCTTTTACAGGTTCTGTAGCATGATATGCGAAGATTACGTTCCTGAACCGTTAGCGACTCGTGAGTTACGCGCAGAACGACAAGATAAAGGAAATAACGCGGGTGGAATTTCCAGAAAATTGATAGAAAAGCGTATCACTTGTTAACAGACCGTAAGACTCATACTGAGTCCGTGAAAGATAGAATATTGTTCACGATTTGACCAAATGCATCATTAAAATAAATATTAACAATGGAAAAATACTTGTCAAGAGAAGGCCAAAAAACGTTCCTCTGGGTCGGCTGCACATGTATTGGCGTCTATATAGCTTACAGATATTGGAGCAAGTGCAAACTCAAGGCAATAAACAAAAGTTTCAAGGAGATGTCTAAGGTCAGGATTTATATGTTCTGAAATTTTCAGATTTATGTTTGATACAATAAGAATAAATTTTTTCTGTAATCTTCTCTATATATAAAAAAAATAAATAAAAGAAATACCTTATACTATATTTCATCTGATTTCTGGGTTAGTGCCACGTCCTTTGTGGATTTATGTTTGATGTTTCATGAAAATTTCAATTTATTTTTAGGAAAAGAAACAACTTGAAACTATTTCAGGTTGTTCTTGAAACACTTTGGAAATATTAGAAATGCAAAAAGCTGTATAGTAGAGAATAGTATCAGGCAAAAAGATAATGCAAGTTTGTACCAAAAGAAATAGGAAAAGAAAGCCACAGAAAGTAAAAATAATATAAGGATTGATGAATTTATTTTAAAAAATCATTTTATGTTACTAGAAGAATCTGTTAAGGAAATGGCAATTACACTAAAAAGAAAAAAGTACTTTGACTGAAATAAATGTTAAAAATAAAGAATACACCTGAAAATATAGAATATAGAACATGCATATAGAATATGAGTAGGGAACATATAAAACATGCATCACAATTTAACAGAGTACTGAAAATAGAAATGTTATATTCAAGATTGAATAACATGTTTGACAGGATGTTCAATGAACTCCACTCAATGATTTCATGATTAAAAACGAGAATAATGATTTGAAAATATTTCAGGTTATTCCTTTTCCTAATATCAATGTGGCACTAAGTTAAAAACCTAATCAATTTCACTATACAGCAGAAATCTACAAGCCCTGTTTTATATATATTTTTTATTTTATTGTAGATTGTGGATAAACCTCAAAAGAGAGTAGTCTTATTGGGACTAAAAGGTGCTGGGAAAACTTTGTTAATGAATCAAATAACTGTTTTAAATGACAATGACTTCAGTTATACTATACCACCACAGCCTACTGAAGGTTCTCTTATTACCAGGTTAAAAAATGATCTATGTTGCTATAATATATGGGAAGGTATGTATACATATTTTAATAATTATTGTATATAGTTTCTTTAATAATCTGTATTGATAATTGAAAATAATGAATATTGAAATATATCCATAGTTATGTAATTTTTTGTTATTAGTTGGTGGCATTGATACATTGGATGATGTAAGAACATACTGGACAATGTTTTTACATAATGTTAATCTCGTAGTATTTGTAGTAGATGCTAATGATACAGATAAGTTACCTGTTGTAGTCTCATCATTTAAATTATTGATGGATGAACCACAACTAAGCAAAATACCAATTCTAATAGTTGCTAACAAACAGGTAATTATTATATTTCTCAATTTTGTGAATCATCTCATGAGATAATGAGGATATAACATAATGAGATTTATCTTAAGCAAGTATCAAATAAATATTGTTTTCTTTTTGTGATTTTCAGGATTGTCCCAATGTTTTAAAGCCAGAACAAATTGAACAAGCTTTAGATTTGTTGAGTTTATCACACAAACACAAAATAGAACTGATTGCATGCCAAACTAAACCATTACCTTATTTATCAGAAGGAGAGACTAGATATAAATGGTATCATAGTTCTGTAGTTTTGGTTATGAAAAAAATGTTTTCTATGGCTGTACCTTGAATCGGTCACATTTCATAAAGTAGGATTGCCATATTCAATAAAAGATTAGGAGATACAAAACTTCTACAGAATAAAAACAATTATAACAAATTAAGTAACTGATTGTTACTATGATATATGGCCATTTTTATTTTAATAAATTTTTACTTTTATATATTAAAGTATGGTTTTTATTATGATATATATATATATATATATATATATATATATATATATATATATATAAAATATATACACACACATATGTCTGCTAGTAAATTTATATTTTGACAATTAGCAAAGGTAACAGCAAGATATTGTCAACTTGGTTCTTATGTATATGGAAATAATCAAAATTTATATAGATATATAAATAGTAATTAAATCGATACAAGTTCTCCCTCTTAACTGTCTACACTGTTATCTTGAATATATTCATTATACTGTTTTGGAATTCCTTTAAACATTTTGATCTTAGCACGTATTTGTTTCCAGGTTAATTGATAGTGATTTTTCTTATCTCTTGACATTGCCTGTATGAAAAGAATTGAGATGATATAAATAATTAGCTATTCACAGAAGTAAAATGATATAACTTTATCTAGAAAGAAACTTTACCTTGTAATCTTCGCCATATTTTGTTATTAAGTAACTAAGAAACTGTGCTTGTCCTTTTGGTAAGTTTAGGAGACGCTCTCTAGGTGCTTTTGCTTCAGCTTCTAATGCTTCTGCAATGTAATTTTTTGCTGGAGTTATACCCATAGCTTCATCTTCGTGATCTGACAAACTTTCATCTATTACAGCTTTTTTCTTGGCATCTAAAATTTCCTTCACATTCGGAATTTGTATCACGTCATTTGCATCGTATGCCAAACCCATTTCTTTCAAATTGGTACGTGTAGATTTTGTGACCTCCCATGCTTTTTTTATCTGCTTGCTAATAACATCAATAGATTAAAACGTTCTATTTGCATGAGGCATGCATGTGAGGTTAGGAACACTTACCACGGAATAGTAGGTAATTTTCGTAACTTATTTCGTAATCTTTTTCGATTTACATTTACACGATACTTCTTCTTACGCTTTAACTTTCTAACTCCTGCCATTTTGTTTGTTATTTATAGTTTACTATGTGTATGTCAACAATTGTAAATCAACACACGTGCTCGTATACGAGCGTTCAGAGAGGAAACTTTTGGTGAATTGCTGGTGAATTTTGATGTCGCGCGCGTATCATTCTTCATTTAAATATAAATTATCTTAATTATCTTCTTGATATCTCGAAATTTATTGAGTATACCTAAGTATACCTAGATATAGTTAACAGTTTTTTTATATTAAATAATAAAAAGTTTATTTAATTTGCTATTAAAATGTTATTTTGAAATAATATTAATATATTATACATAAAAATTAAAGAAATCTTTAGAATAGTAAGCAAAATTCAACGAGTTATATCTACGGCAGAAAATAATCTTACATACGACGTGTTACAGAACAGGTCTTAACTCAATATGTCTTAGCAGGAAACGATGTAACATTATGATTTTAATATTAGACAATAATATTAGACATGATTTAAAAATTAGACATTTCAAGCGCGCTGTAAAATACTGGATTGACTTGTTATCATTGTTTTTATCGAAGTTATAGCTCGTTGAATTTTACTTATTTTTTCGTATAAAATAAACTGCGTCTAACTTATAATTGAGTTGCAACACGTGAAAGTTTCGATGCCCGTTTTTACCAACTTTGATTAACTGGATATGTAATTATTCTAATGGTTAGTGGAATTAACCAATCTCACATTTCTCTTTAGTCAGAATTGATAGATGCAATTAGTCAATTTCGTTTTTTGTACGAGTAGTCGTTCATCTATACTACTCTCTCGATTTTTCATGAAGAGCAATAGCGCTCCCTAATAAAAACTTTAGAAACTACACTTTTGAATAATGATTCATGAAGTTAAAATTTTTAGTTATTATGTACATTATTAAATATAATATTTATTTATTTATTACTGTGCTACACGAATACAAATCGTGTAAATCTAAAAATTAGAAATTTGGAGCTACAAGATGCTTCTTAAACAATCTCATTATCGTTATATTTACTAAAATTATATCTCATTAAATTTTACTTAATAAACTCTCTCAAGAGAACCAATTTTTTAATTTGTATATATAACACATTTCCAAGTTTGTGTGTTATATAAATATAATATAATATATAGTGTTATATTGTATTTACATTGTTGAATGCGAAATCATAATATAGATGTAGTGTAACTGATGTTCGGTGTTAACTGAGCAGATATTCGCGACGCGAGTAAATACTTGCTCTTTTTGCATTAACTACATTCATTTTGATAAAATCGCGAGAAGGGATCGACGTCTGATCCACATTTAGTTAGTCATGTCTAAGATTGACGTAACCTTAACATGAAAGTGTCAAGGTTGATTTTGCAAGGAAATCGAGTTTTCGATTTTGCGTATTCAATAAGAAATTAGATCACGCATTGGCGATTTCATCATTGCGACTGTTTCGTACTACAGAAAAAGAAACCGGTCGTCCGTGAAAGCGGCCAGTGTTCAATCAAATTCGCGCAACACATGTGAAATGATCGGTACATTTCGATTATCCATTGTATGCAAATTCTTTCTGATCTGGACTGGAAATTCGAGAGCGCGCACAGTTGCCAAACAATAAAGGCCACGTTTTAAAAGCGTTTTCTGTTATTGTGCCGGATCTTTTGTATTCGTCGGCCGATTGTGTCGTGCATACGTAAGTTTTGGCCCGCGTGTTTTAACATTGCGCTCACCTAGAAGAAACGCATGTAAGTGCGCATCGACTTTGTAAAGTTGATTTAATTGAACATTCTGAAACTTTTCGAGAATTCTCCTAAAGTACACTCATCTCGAACTTTCTCCAAGAAAACGTCCATTGTTGCGCGAAAGACTTGTAATCCGAATGGTCCGCATTTTTAGAAGTTGTGAAGTTTAAGAACTAGAGAACTGGACGAAACGAACAGCAATCAAAAGAATAATCATTACTTTAGATATTATCATTACTATAAGATAATTTCAAAACGCGGGTACTCCGTTTATTATCGTATGAATTTCGATTTATTCGTATCTAATATATATAGCAGAATTATTTACTACTAATCCGAAAGATGTTCTCGTGATACAAAATTATATGTATATCTCAATGTACGTTGCGTAACTTATAACTCGCTCAAGTGTTCATGCTTGCATGGAGAGTAAAGTATACGTGTTAGGAGTAGTATGTGTGTGTGGTGTATAAACATAAATATCACTATAAATATATTATATACACAGTTGCGTTGTAAAAAAAAGTCATGCATGTACCGGAGAGGGTATGGTAACATCGGGAGGAGCTCGAGAGACCGAACACAAGACACCTGTTTTCGAAACGACCGTAGTTGGCATAGAGAGGCTCGTTTACCAGGCGTAGCTCGTGCCAAAGCCGCTGAAAGTAGCGTGCACCACCGGCGCGGCGGTCTCATACGAGTAAGGAGCGGCGTACGTCTTCGCGACTACGGGGGCGGCATGAGCGTACGTGAGGGCGGCTGGCGCAGCATGAGCGGCGTACGTGAGGGCGGCTGGCGCAGCATGAGCGGCGTATGTAAGGGCGGCCGGTGCGGCGGCGATCGCGGTCTTAGCCAAGACCGGCGCGGCGGCGTAGGCGGTTTTGGCGACGAAGGGAGTCGCAGCGGCGTAGGTGGTAGCTGGTGCGACCGCGTAAGCAGCCTTCGCGACCAGAGGGGCGGCTGGCGCGGCGTAGGTGGTGTAGGCAGCCTTGGCTACCAACGGGGCGGCGTAGGCCTTGGTCACAACCGGGCTGCTGTAGGTGTATGTGGCGGGCGCGGCATAAGTGGCCGTGGTCTTGGCGATGACCGGCGCTGCCGCGGCGTATCCGTAAGCGGGCGCCGCATAAGCGGGCGCAGCATAAGCGGGCGCCGCGTAAGCGGTCTTGGTGATCACCGGAGCGGCATGAGCGGCGTATGTCAAGGCCGGCGCGGCATAAGCGGTTTTGGCGAGGACGGGCTGCGCGATGTACGCGCTCTTAGCCAAAGCTGGCGCGGCGTATCCGATGGCGTGGTGTTCCAGCAGGGCGTCGTTGCTCACGTGACTGTTGCTCACGCGAACCGACGAGTGCGCGGAGTCCTCGGCCCTACTGTACGTGGACACCACGTTCTGGCCGGCGTAGCCCTTCTGGGTGGATTCTTGGCTGTAGCCGATGCTGTTGTGATCGGCGGACAGCGTGCCGATATCGTAAGCTGCCGGGCCGCCGGCACTTGCCATCGCCACGAAGGCTGCGAGTACTAAAAACTGGAAAACAATGGGGGAAACATCGTTAACTTGTTCAATCAGCGCGCGGATTTATCGGCTAATTTTTCTTGAGGGATTTTGAGCTTTCAATTGTTAGTAGCGATCAACAAGATCCCAGGTAGTACCAGACGTTTTGAGAATACTCAGGGTGTGATCAAGACGTCCTGGGATTACTCTTTAAGATATGTTGGAGACGCGTATTATTTTGGAAATAAGAAACGTTCTCTCGAACTAACAAGTGTGTAGGAACGATTTCTTTGAGTAGTAATAAATTCTTTTTCCATGTGTGAAAGCTTCCGCTATACAGTTTCTCGATGCTTAAAAATTTGCTCAATGCGTTATATTAGCGTACACACGGCGTAATGAGATATGATCGTCTAGTAGTGTCAATATTCGTTTCTTCTTACCTTGAATGCCATTTTGCTCGTTCGAAGTGGAACAACTACTGAGTTCTGCTGATTTGGTGGTCGTCGGCCACTATTTATACGCGGGTGAGGTTGTCCGGGGGTTCGATCGAATTTTGGGTACTACCTCCGCGTTCGAGGTGATTGGGCATGGTCAACGGGAGAGGGATATGTACATGGGACTTCTTTGTGGGAAATCATTAAGAAAGGAGCAAACGAGAGTGCAAAGGAGAGGTGAGATAGTCGCCCGAGGGGAGGGGCGAACACGAGCGAATTCCGGGCGTGGCGGCCACGAAATTAAGATCGTGCATCTGGTACGGAGCAACTTGTTAGAAAACGTCGCCGATGCGAGGGTGCGACACTTATAATTACTTTTCACTTTCGTTTTGCCCCCGGCGGTCCCCGATTGCCAAACATACGATATTGTCAACGGGGTACAAATGCAGCTGTAGCAACTTTGAAGCGAGAGACGCGTATTCCTCGTGGATGACGAGTGATACGCGCAATGATGAGTGTCGCGTGAGATTTCATTATGATGAACTTGCAAATTAACTCGAGCAAAAGAGAGAAAGATTAGGCGATACCGTTCTTGTGCGCAATTCTGCAAATTTCCTCTTTTGTACGCAATATAGAGATATATTGATATAAACTCACCATGGTATTTTGTAGAACTTGCCAAGGACACACTTTCTCCAAATTCTGACATAAGCTGTATCATATGTGTAACAGTGGAGATACGTAATACTTGCGCACACGTAGGTGCTCTCCTTATTAGTTGCAAAACTTGGACTTGTATATCCGTACATTACATCGCGGCTCCTAAAAATTAAATCTCGTCAGTAAATTTGCACAGGCATACACACACACATACACATATACAGTCTCTCCTCCTTAAACACGCGCAAAATCGTATCAACGGACACATTACACACAGGGAGCGAATTAAACGAGTACATGATGAATGAGCCGATAACAAGTACAAAGATGAATGATCGCGATACCAACGTCTCAATGTCTCGTCTGCGGTTTGCACATATTACGTTTAATGAGATTTTAATATGACGTCAGAGTTAATTGTGAAATTAAGATACTTTTATATCTTTAATTAATACTTTAATACTGGTAATTATTGCGTTGCGCGTTGGAATTACTTAATTGTGCTCGCACAGAGTACGTATGCCGCATCGCAAGAATCGCCAAATGTCCTCGCAAATGTTAGATGTCCCAATCTCAACTGACATATTTATGATCTGAAATCGGAATTAAATATAACTTGAAGGACGAGTGTTTTTTATCTTGACAGATTAAAATGAAAAAGAAAGGGAGAGAATGCAGATTTAACGTTTCGACGATTGCCTACGATTTGATTACCTATGAGCAGTTCCGAAAATGTTTAATATTCATACAACGTGCGTTCTCTCGTCGAAAGACATTGACGTGGTCCTTTGTCATAAAGTTGGTCACCACTGCGCTTTTAGGTGGCGATGCTAGGTCACGGACGGGCGTACCCTTCACATAAGACGTTGAATTTTTTCCTTTGTAAAAGTACGTCTGATGCGGGGTACCGGTTACGTACGCGCACATGTCCGTCTGTCCGTCTTTTCCGTCCGTGACCCAATATCGCCCTAAACCCTTTATTTCGCGATCGGTAAACGCGCCGTCGGTGGTCTACCTTCGCAATTTTTACAAACGCTTCGATAATAGTGTGCATGCCGCATGAGCCAGCTTCTGAGCGTGTTGTATTCTACGAGTCTGAAATCGGCGATAAAATATTTCTTAAAAATACGATAATTAATGCTACGATAATTAGTAATAAATATCGATGTTATGCAGACTTTGCCTTTATCAAATAAATAAACATACCTTCATAAATTTCTGCTTGTTTTTCATCTATATTTGTCTTATACCAAAAATATTGATCCAAATAGCTGAATAACGGCCTATGATTGCGAATCTGCAATTAATTATGTTCTTAATCAAAGATTATAAATAATTTACTACTATGAATATCGTATTTAAAGTTTTCAAGCCCGACGGTTAGTAGTGTTATTATAGTCCGACGATTCAGTAGTGTTATTATATAGTGTTATTATATAGTGATTTATTAATGAATCCTTAATAGAGTTTCCAACGGGTTAATAATAGTATAAAATAATGATAATAATAAGTTAAACAGCTAAAGTTACTTTTCTAAAAAAATTAAAAATCAATCTTCTAAAAAAAATATACAATTGAGTGCCTCGATCTTCTCTTATTTGTACATAGTAATTTAATTAAAAAAATACCAAGTATTGTTTTGTATGTGTTTACTATATAAAATTTATATATATATTTTTTTATTCAAAATTTATATTACAAATAAAAATTATATCATCAATGCAATTTCGTAATATATGTGAAATAAAAACGTTATTTTACAAATGAGTAAAAAAAGTAAAAAGTAAACCGACGAGGATGGGATTCGAACCCACGCGTGCAGAGCACATTGGATTAGCAGTCCAACGCCTTAACCACTCGGCCACCTCGTCTCACGTAAGAGTGAGTTCAAAATATGTGTGATGTATCACCTGTCTCGTCTTTTACGTTCAGAATCGTTCACCTGTGGCTTTCACCTGATTACATATAGCTTATAAAAAACTGATACTGCTCGATTTTAAATGCGAATTAGCAGTACTAGTCCGTACAATGTGGTGCGCGCGTCATGAATGTTGACATGTAGCGCCAAACAGTTGCCAGCTAGTGACTGATATGCTAATAAGCTCTCATATTTCATAAGTATAAAATTTAAATAGTTCTATAAATCGATCCGAAAAAAGGTAACTTTGATTTTTAGTATTTTTTAACAATTTTTTAACTATTTAACGAAATAATTAATCATTAAAAACTTCATTTTACCGATCCTTGCATTAAATATCCTCTGTGCGCATCAATAATATCTGTGAAAATGTGAAATGAATCTAGAAGATTGCTCCTTTATTTTTATGTAGTGTAATACGTATTGTGAATTAGCCAGCTGTTAGTTATTACATATATAGTGCTTGTTACCTACAGTGGTTAAGAAGTGCGTTCTATCTTCGTTCTGTTAAAATATATCGTTATCGTTTATACTATCAATAAGTGGAATAAAAATTTATCGTAGCAACATATTTCTATATTATATAGAATCATCTCGAAAGTTTGCTAATGTTTCTCTATTCATTGTATTCTGTTCGTTTGGGTTTGTCGTTATATATGTAGCGTGGACACGTGCTACAAAGTTGATCGTATGTCAACGCTTCTACTTCTGACAATAATAGTCGTGATAACAAACTGGTAACGTCAGTTCGCGCAGTACTTCGTACAACGGATATCGAGAAGTCGCGATGCACAAGAAAGCACGCAGCTTATCCAATCTTAAACGTGGGGAGAGACGCGCAGCAATAGCTATAAGAAAATTGAAATAATCCCTTGTCCACAACCTTGCTTTAATCTTTAAGTCGTGAGAAATTGACCAACCACAGTCGATTAAAAATAATCAACTGTGGTTGGTCAATATCTTACGGCTTAAAGATTGTGGACTTAAAGAGGTAAAAGTCGCGTGTATCTACAGCAGATATATCGTAACTATCGTAATTATAGCTGTTACTATTTGATAATACCGCTTTATCTTGTGCAAGTTTCTTCTGATGTACATTCTATACTAGACTCATTCATAGCATTCATTCTATAGTATTCATGTGATGTAACACATAAAACTGTATGTCACGTGTGTTAAGAACTGTCACGTGGTCACATAATTGCATGTGCTGTCTTTCACGGTCTATTACATTTTTAGTCTTTGACAGACCACAGCTAATTCGAGTGCTAACGCTCGTGACACTTAACCTACTTCCCACAGTGACGAGTTGATACAATATCAAAAGAGTCTTGAAGCTCTCGGGTCATACCGTGATAGATCTCGGAGTCAGGTAGAATTTTCAATTCAAGATGGCAGAGACACTAGAGTTTACACCAGTATACGACGATGTCACTGCGAAATTCCTCGAGAATGAATTTGCGAGGCTTAAGGGTAAGTGGTAGATTTCGCAGAAGCGCATTGTTTGAACTGTATAAATTCGATGCGTGTCGACTCGATAAACTCCATCTCTCTGTATGCGACGCGAGTCATTTGCACGGCGCATAATAGAAGTCGAAGGCTGTCGTCGATTCTGAGTCATCGTGTACAAACATTCGCATTTACTGAGATAAATATAAAGAATATAATAGAAATAACTATAAAGTTACGTAGGAGAAAAATAAATCGACGTGCTCTTACTTCAGGAGAATGTTATGTGGATCATGCGGGCGCAACTCTGTACTCGGATACGCAGATCAGAGACGTCGCAGCCGATCTACATCGCTGTCTTTATGCTAACCCGCACTCGGTCGGTATTCCCAGTTCATCGACGCGAGATATCATCGATCATATGAGAGATCGGTGAGAGAGAAAAATTACAAGATAAACGTATGAGTATATACTGATAAGAGCACAATCGCGGATCTAACCGATTTATATTGCCATTTCAGAATTTTGAGTCACTTCAATACTATTCCGGACGAGTATAGCGTTGTCTTCACTTCGGGCGCTACGGCGAGCCTGAAAACAATTGCAGAAGCGTTCTTGTTCGAGGCGCATGGAAGTAACGGGACGGGGCGACATACGGGAAATTTTGTTTATGTCCAAGACAATCATACATCGGTCCTCGGGATGCGAGATGTAGTCGCTGCCAGAGGTGCCGAGGTCATTTGTCTCGATCATGATCAGGCATTTCAAACTTTCGAGCAGTACACGACTTCTCGCGATCCCGACGACGAAAGGCGTAAGAGCGGCAATTCGCTTTTCGTGTACTCTGCGCAATGCAATTTTTCCGGGTTTAAATATCCACTTAAATGGATCAGGGATGTACACGCGGGAGCATTATCCGCTGTCGTCGGTGAACAATCAACCGGCTGGTATGTTCTACTCGACGCCGCCAGTTTTGCGCCGACGAATAATCTGGATTTGTCTATTTTCAAACCAGACTTTGTGTCTCTGTCTTTTTACAAAATGTTCGGCTATCCGACCGGCATCGGCGCTCTGCTGGTTAAGAATTCTAGCGCAGACGTCCTGGGAAAGATTTATTACGGCGGCGGTACCGTGGACGTCGCTCTCGCTTCTGAAATGTTTCACAGGAAACGTCGAATGTTACATCAAAGGTAAGCAGAGCACGCGCTCGACCGTAGCAAGGGGATCACCTGAAACCTTCCTGATTTTCAGATTCGAAGACGGAACCTTGCCGTACTTATCGATTGCGTCGTTGCGATACGGCTTCGACATATTGTCGAAACTCACTATGGACAAGATATCGGAGCACGTTTTCTCCCTCGCCAAAATTTTCCATCATTCCTTATTAACGTTGCATCATCGTAACGGCAAATCGGCCGCAAAATTGTACGCAGACTCTGATTACGAGGATCGTAACTCGCAGGGAGGTATCGTTACGTTCAATCTCATCCGTTCCAACGGCGAATACGTGGGTTATATGGAAGTCGTAAATATGGCAGCGCTATTTAAAATACATCTCAGGACGGGTTGCTTTTGTAATCCCGGTGCGTGCCAGAGACACTTATGCCTCGCGACCGAGACGATTCTTAAAAATTATGAAGCGGGATACGTGTGCGGCGGTACCGTAGATATAGTGAATCGAAAGCCCACCGGAGCTGTGAGAGTCTCTTTTGGCTATATGTCCACGATTCAAGACGTCGAGACGGTTTTACTCATGATTACAAAGTGTTTCGTTGACGGACCGAGCATCAAAAAATTTCCGGAATGGTGGGAAGACTACAGAGTGAAAACTGCTAAAAAATATAAAGAAAAACATTTTTACAATTCCAACATCTTAGATCAAGCCACTATTAACCCGAATAACGATAAGAATAATATGAACAGTAATATGAGGAACAATCTCCACGGTAAAAACGAAAATCTCAATGGCATTGTGAGTTTTGTCAACTTTGATAAAACGATTATGCGAGCAAACAAATGCATCTTGCAGCGATTATTTATTTATCCTATAAAATCGTGCGGCGCGTATGAGATTGTAGACATGTGGAATCTAAATTCAAAGGGTCTAGAATACGACAGAGAGTGGATGATAGTAACATCCTCTGGAATTTGTTTAACTCAAAAACATCAAACGAATTTGTGCTTATTGAAGCCTGTTATTCTTAGAAAAAAAAATATCATGGAACTGTCATATCCAGGTACAAATTGTTGATTTCATAAATTCTTTGTTTTTAATATAGTTTAGCATAGTATTATTTTTAATATATAAATCAGTAAATTATTTCAGGAATGCCAACAATTGTAGTATCTTTACAGACTACTTATAAAGAATCAATTAAGCATTCTATATATCAAAGTAGAGTGTGCGAGAGCAGAGTAGAAGGTATTGATTGTGGATTAGAAGTTTCTGAGTGGCTAAGTTTGGCACTGGGAAAACCAAACCTCAGATTAATTAGACAAAGTCAAGGGAGGCAAAAAAAAGGTAGTGAAAAAAAATCTGAAAGCATTATGCTAAATTCCAAAGTAAAACCATACCTTTCATTGTAGGATCAGACAAGGAATTATCATTTTGTACTCAGGCACAATATTTGGCAGTAAATGATGCGAGTGTGTCATGGCTCATTGACAAGGTATCTGATGATATAGATTTCAAGAAAGATACAGCTGTGCATCGATTCCGGGGAAACATTATCCTGAAAGGTTGCAATGCTTTTGAAGAAATGCAATGGCAATACATTCGTATTGGGAATAACAATTTCAAGGTACAAACTTTTTTATCAACTAAGTTACTGATTTGATATATTATTAATGTATTCAAATATATTTTGTATATTGTTATAGGTAAATGGCCCTTGCACAAGATGTCAAATGATATGTATTGATCAAACAACTGGCAGGAAGACTATTGAGCCATTAAGAACATTAGCAGAAGAATTTCATGGAAAGCTAAAATTTGGAATTTACTTGACAAGATTAGGGATTACGCAAGGCGTACTTAAAATTGGTGATGATATTCACTATTCTTGAATACGTAATGTTTCATGAACATTATTAACTGTTGAATGGCTTATGGTTATATTACACACACATTAATATTAATTTACCAGAAGCCTATTATCGAGAAATCTCCTATTTTATTTTATATGTGCTAATGATTTAACTGTACCTGATTTTTAATAAAACTTTTATAATAATACACATTCTGAATGATGCTTGTCAATTTTCCTCACTGGTTTACCTGCAGATACATCTTTGATCATATTTACAGTTGCAACTGTATCAGGAAAGGCTAATGTTTCAAGTTTTGAATATACAAGTTTATCATTAACTTGTATTTCAAAAGATGCTAAAGATAAAGAGAATTATAAGACTTCTAATTATCTTAATTATTTAGTTACAACTGTTGTTCATTTTTTACTTGCCTCGTCTTCCTGCTGTACCATTGACAATGGCATTACTGACATTATTTTTTATTTCTGTTGCCAACTGTAAAAAGTGTCTTCTATATCCACATGAACCACTATAAAGTCAAAATATTTAATTTTATATATTTATGTAAATCTTAGAACATTTTTTATACACAATCTATGAAATTTTTAAATCTAGATTAATTCTAATTAAAAATATAGTCTAGAATAATAGGGCTTTTTTGTATTGGACTATATCCTACACACTTACCAATATTCTATATCAACGTTTACATCCATTACTTTTTTTATTATTGTTACTTTGTTATATTCGACTTACTTTATATTTTAGAGTAAATTTATCATATATAATTTAACGTAACGTTTGTTTATAAAGTCAACTGTGATTATTTTATCAGAATACAATGTAATCTTTAACCTACAATATAACACTCTTATAAAGAGCTGTAAATAACAGTTGTAATTTAATTAGATACATAAACTACTCTCGATGCATTGTATTATCAACATGATTAAAAATAGAATTAGACAATATAAAACCACATAGCAGACCGGTAAATATGAAAACCATGAAATGTTTTTACTAAGAAGACAGGCACGTACCAGGCACGTAAGAAAAAAGGTTACGTTATCGTACGTATAGTTACATGTTGTCGCCACGAGGCCGCGCTTACTCTTAGAATTGCTCAGTTTGTTAATGGGAATGATCAATCTTTTTGAAAAATAATAACATAAACAACTGTACAAGAAGTTTACGATCGTATATCAACGTCGAGACTGAATTATGTACACGTGGAAACTATTGGGTAATGTTCTCCGACGTTTCGACGCCAATTATAGTCATAACGGTGGTAGGTTAGCGTTTGTCAAGCATCGTGTTCTTACCTATGACAAATTCGGTTCTTACCGCAAAGAAGTAAACCAGTGGTTTCGGGAGCAGGGTAAGCAAGTTGCCCAAGCCTGTAGGAGGCAATTCGAGTTCATAACAGCGCAGAGGATCAGAAGGAATGTGCAAATATTTTACCTTTACACAAGGATATGGGATGAGGTAGCATTGAGAGAGTTCATAAAGTCCTGGAGATTGAGAGTCACCAGGAATTTTCTGTTGAGCACAGTTGCCGTAACTATGTATAATTGGGATCATGACAGAATTACAGATGAAGAACTTAACAAGTACTTATCTGCAGTAATAAATAAATGTATAACATTCTTAGGATAATGTCATTAATAATATTTCACTTTACAGATACATTCATGAAATTGAAAGGATTCATAGATTAAGAGACTGTACAGTGGTATGTGCAAAATGTCACTTGCGAATTATTGTTGATGTTATACAGGCCAATGTGAAGTATTGTAAATGTAATGGAGTTCAGTCTACTACTTCTAGTCAGAATAGTATGTTTGCTTTTATATTAACTGTTTCAAAAATAAATTATCTCTCACCATGCATCTCTCGTTTTTCTATGTATTCTGTATAATTTGCATCTAATTTATGTTGCAACTTGCAAAATGTAGCAGATGGCTGGTTGCCTTATATTGAACGTCAAGATATGCTGATATGGAGACGGCAAGAAACTGGAGGATTATATGCATACAAAGTGTATGGCTCGTTTTCTGATGTTACTGCTGAAGACTTCTTACAAGCACAAGTAGATGTTGATTATAGATTAGAGTGGGATTCTACTGCTAAGGAATTAGAAATTATTGAAACCGATCCAAAGTCAAAATCATCTGATCAGAGTAATGATATTATTCACTGGGAGATGCTCTGGCCTGTAAGTAGTAAGACATGTCTTGACACTGAATGATTTTTCTATTGAGTAATTAAGTAATTTACATTTTGGACAGAGATTCTTTTCGAATAGAGATTACGTGTTTCAACGACGGTGGATTGTGAATAGAGAAAAGGGGATCATAATTATTGTCAGCAGAGTAACAGAACATCCTAATGTACCTATCATACGTGGAATTCACAGGTATATAAAAGCAATCAGCTATGCAAGATGTCTGACAATAAGTATCATACTTTGTGTGTGTGTATAGATTAGGTTAAACAAAATTCTTCTATCATTTTGCAAACCATAATGTATCATTTTGAGTTATTAATGAAAGAAGATTGATAAATGATCACGATATGACAGATAAGCTGATGATAACGATACTTACTGTGTACTTGCAGATTAGGTCAAACTAAAAGAAAAAGTCCTATACTATTTTACAAACAATTGCGTAGATTTTTTAGTTATTGATTAAAGAAGAATGGCGGAAGTAAAATAAAAGATTATATAAATCATTTCAAAAGAGAATCTTTGATTCTCCTTCATTGATGTATAATTTGAGATTTATATGTATTCAGGGTTAAGTCATATTGGTCGTACATGGTGATAAGACCTTGCACAGAATTCAGTAAACCAGGCATTGAATTCGGACTCACTTACTTCGACGATCCTGGTGTATCTATACCGTCCCCTTTTACCTCATGGGTAGCATTGAGAGGTTTATTCTTTTGTAATAGTAAAGTATAAACGCTGATAATTTATGATTGCAACTCATCGATTTCTTTTATATTTTCGTGATCTTTCCTTGTGAAATATTTTAACATATTTTAATTGTGTGATTTGCTACATATTTTTTTCAGGGTTACCTGACTTCCTGACACGCATGCGGAATGCCTCGAAAAATTATCAAAAATACAAAGCAACGAAACAAAGAGAAGTTATATTTAATAATGATAATTATCCATTACCTGAAGAGCAGGTCAAATCAGACACTTCTGCTAACAGTACTAACGAGTTAGAGATAATACACAATGTACAGCAGGAAAGTGATATAGTAGAAAATGGAAATAGAGACACCGCTTCTAATTCTTCAGACGAAAAACAAGGTTTACATTACTTTTATCTTACGAAATTATTTGCCTGACACGAGTATTTCACAATTGATTTAAGAAAGTAACTTTTCACTAGTAGATAATTTAACGTGACCTCATATGGGGAGAATAATATAATCCGATCTCTGCTACCGAAAATGTAAAAACGTAGTACACCGATAAATGCGTGGATGATGATATTGCGGAATAACTGGTGCTTCATTAACATATATATTAGGTAAACGGTATATGCTTTCACAGTCATCAAAACGAAATCGTGATTATAACAAATCTTGCATTTTCCTTCCAAACATTGGTTCTCATCTTTTACGAAAATAGGAAACAAAAGGAATTCGCCGATCGAAAAATATACTAAGCGTGTAGCAAGACTGATTAGTTTTATTCATTGTAATCCGTTTGTTCGTTGAAAATATATATCGTACAGATGGCTAATTAAAAGTTGCAACACTTTTTCTCAGAAAGTTTCGTAACGCATCTTAATATCCAATAGGATTTTTTTTAGTAATTTTTAGAAGATAGATTTTCCTATTGTGCATGGAATGAATTGCGAAATTCAAGGTAAAAGTGTCGCAATTTTTAATCCGCGGACTACACAAAGTAATGAACAAAAGAATGTAATCTGTTAAATTGTGTAAACAAAGCTGATTCGATATTTATGGACTTATGATATACATAGATTTATATATAATAAAGTGAGTTAATTGTATTTCTAAATATTATAATGCAAGTAAGGTAAATTTGTAATATAACAAACTAATATATATTGGAAAATATATGTATATGTACATATACATAATAATATATAGCATATATTACAATATATATGCGTATATATGAATAATTAATATTATATATATGTATACACATACATGAATATATCTGTGAATATATCTATGTATTTATATACTTGAGTGAATACCGATTTTTAATATCTACTAAATGTATAAGCATTTCTTCTAGTTAGTATTTAAATTATCGGCAGACATTGAGAAAAAATTTTTAAGTGCATAACGTTAACGCAAGATTTTTGTTCAAATTCAGTTTCTCTTGTTTCTGAATTTTTTCTGCTTATATTTTTTGCAAATTAACAAAACTTTGTAAGTGGTGCATCCTTTCTCTCTTACTCCTTTCTCTTTCTTTTTCATTCTATTATTTTCTCGCCTGTATTCTCATTTTTATGTTATTTTTAATGTTTATTTATTTTTACTTTATTCGTGGAAAGATTTTTCCCTTTTGTTTAATTCTGAGCAACATTATTTGTTCTTTTTCTATTTTCCTCTGCAAGTTATATGCTTGTTAAAATTGATACTTGTAAGTTTTACTGCTTTCGTTTAATTTCACACTTCAATTTGTTTTTAAATAAAAATTCAAAAATGTAAAATTACCTAAAAATGGCTTCCTTATCATGGAAGCCTGTCAGTTTGATACTGATCTGAACTGTCCCTTGTATATAAAATATGTATGCAATGTACGGATATGTACTATAAATCTATACGTGTAAGTATATATTATAAATGTGTAAGTATATATTATAAATCTATACATCTATACATATTCTCGAATTTGTTTAGAAAATTATCATAAGAAAGAGAGAAAGAAAGAAAATGTGCAATTATAATAAAATATTTGCTAATATCAATTTGTTATAAATAATTTGTATATTGTGATATGGTGATATGCTTTTATCCTAATATTCTATTTTTACTACGTATAAAAGATTTTCGAGGCTATTAATACCGCACTATTATTACTGAGATTATTATTATTGGAAAATATCAATGCATGCTTTATCAAAAGTGACATTGCTTTTGAGGAAAAATATGCTGAAAATAAATTTATTAAGGCACAATCAGAAATATTTGTGTACATACATTTTTACAAATTTTGTTTACGTTTATAAAAAAAAGATTTTCTAATCCTAAGATATCGTCTTATATAATGTTTTCATCTATTATCAGACTGGATATGAGAGTATCACCTTCTGTGTCTAACATAAAAATTATCTCTTCTGGTAAACTTTTTGGAGCAGACGTAAAACCCGAGCAGTCTTCGTCGTGACACTTCTGGTATATCTCATTCTTATTCATATCCACAATCCAATAGACATTGTTGCTTTTATGCCATCTGCCAATGTTCTCGCAAAATCTACAAAGAGCAATGTAAAAAAAATAGTACTATGCGTTATCTTTTATGTCATATGTACATAGAAAAATAAAAATGATTAATAAGTGTTTGATCATATCATTGTGTAATTACTTGCCTGTTACCATAAATCTCATAACTTAGTATTTTCGTTTTATCAAAATATTTAGTGACTCGTATCTTGCCAGGATCAATGATACTTTGAATGTATTTATCTATTTCGGGATATGGTGACGTCTGGTTGTTATCTTCACGAACAGTTTGTGTTAACACTTTAGAATAGAGTTGAGCTGTTACATTGCTACGATTGAGAAACTCTAGTAGAATTAAATTTGGCTTGTTTGGAAAATATGATATTAGGGAATCCAGGAAGATTCCCAATTCCTTCTCTTTACATTTATTCAATGGAGTATGTGTACAATCTGGAGACATTGTTAAGTACGATTGTTTTCCCCATTTGGTGGATAGATACACTCTAAAATGTCTGTTTTTGGTGTAGACACCATTGTCAATAAACAATTTCTTGCCATGCTTTGTTACCACCAGCATTTCTTCAATGTCTGCTTTGTTGAAGTGTTTTAATATTCCATGTGACTGGATATCAGAGTTTAAGTAAAACATAATATCATTGTATATGGTTTTGATGAATCTACCAACGTGCGAGTTATCTTTAAAAGCCATGTCTTTCATGGTAAAAATAACATGTCTGCTGAATTTCTCACTGGAAGTAGAATCCAGTATTAAAATGCTATTTCTATCACACAACAAGTGATAGTGATTAAGTAGATATGTGCGTATAATGTCAATCAGTGTTCTAGTCATGTGTGAGCCATCGCAGAGGGGATTTAATTGAATTGGGTATTCTAAATCCAGATATAGCCAGCATGGCGAACCTTTTGGTATTACCTGTTGAGTTTACAACAACTTCCTAAGTGTTTCGCACGAAGGAATGCATCGAGAACATGTTTGATCTAGAAATTCAAGTGTCGAACGAAATTATAAATTAGCGTGTCTACCTCGTATGAACATCTCTCCTCCTGCGGCTTGGCTTTGTAATACCACCAGTACACCTCCGGATGTGCAACGACGAATTTACGGCTACCATCACTGGTTCGCTGATACACGAAAGTGCAAAGTGTGTCGGTTTTCGTGCTACGTTCAGCAGCTGCGGCCAGTGCATCCGCTTGTTTTGGAAATTCCTTCCAATACTGCGTCGGGCCCAATATATGCGACGGCATGACGCGATGTACCTTCACCCAGTGAGTGTTGGACTTGGGTTTTTGCTTACATACCTTGCCGCCGTAAAATTTCTCTGTGCTAATCGTGTTCATTGCTCGATTACATCTTCGAATCAATACTAAAAACAAAGCAGTATCAATCGCTCAATTGTTTGATTTCACATTGATCGATCAATGATTAACGGATCAATCACCATCGTTTACAATCCATGTAATGATGTTGGGGCGAAATTCTTAGTGAAGCCTGGAGCCACTTATTGAAATTGAAATTGAATCACCATCATTTTATCACAATTGACATCTAGAACGAATTCATTCGAAATCAGCTGATAAGAGCTCACGTGGGCTGTTTCCCGCCAGTTTCTGCTTTATGTCATTGAATTTATAAAATAGCTAGTAAAGTGTGTTCGCATTTATCTATTAGTTCCGGAATACGACGAGTTGTGCGCTGCAATCGGCCTCACTGGCGCCTCTACTGTGATGAGTCGTGCGCATCCCTCGATCTCTTTCTTTTACATCTGAAGATTGACGATCGGGCGCGAGAGTAAAGACGGAGGTATTGTTTGATAAATCTCTTTGGAATTTTCGCATAGATTTTACCAATATCTTCAAATTTAGAACACTTGTTATGTGCTCTTTTGATAACATATGAATGATCGTAGAAAATCGTGCCGCAATTGCTCAAATTTGTTCCTCATTTATTGCGCTTGCTCTGCGTTCATGTTTGAATTAGTTGAGAGTAACGTTCTACTTATCCCAACCTATAATGCGTCATATGTTGCGTCAAATTTTCGCATCGTTTAACGAGAACAAAATGAGAGAAAAGATAAAATAAGAGTTGTAGTAAGCAGGAATATACTGAAATAAGTAAAAGAGAGTACGAATTGGTACAAGTATGCCAGTGTGTTGTATATAGGTCCGTGTTTAGAACGCGCATACAAATAGGCTGTGCGAAATGATACTCGATCCTAAACCCGCTTTCTGGAATCGGTACAAGTAAACGTTTTGGTCGTGTTAAATGGTATTTCGTTCATTTGCGTAGTTATATACATGTTACATACATGTTATATACATGTTACAATTATGTATATATGTATATATATATATATATATACATACATAATTGTAACATGTATATATATACAGGGTGTCTCACACTCTCCTCCGGGCATTTTGTGGGGACGTAAAACAGGTTGAGGTGAACATAAAAGTCCTATACTGTTTTGCGATATTTGTAATAATTATCGAGATATTAATTGTAGAAAACTTGTAAATAATCATGCAGAATATGGTAAATAAGTTATAATAGCGATGACTGCCGTCGTGTACTTATACTTTAGGTCAAATTGAACAAAAAAGTCCTCTACCATTTTCCAAATAATCACATAGATTTTTAATTATTAATTAAAGAAGATTATTGCACGATTTTGCATGATAATGCACTCACCTTCTTTAATTAATAATTAAAAATCTATGTAATTATTTGCAAAATCGTAGAGGACTTTTTTATTCAATTTGACCTAAAGTATAAGTACACAATGGCAGTCATCGCTATTATAACTCATTTACCATATCCTGCATGATCATTTACAAATTTTCTACAATTAATATCTTGATAATTATTACGAATATCGCAAAACGGTATAGAACTTTCATGTTCATCTCAACTTGTTCTACGTCCCCACAAAATGCCCGGAGGAGAGTGTGAGACACCCTATATATGTGTGTGTATATATATATATATAATTACCTATTTTGCAGAATAGAAGAACCTCCAGAATTCTCCAGAACAGAAAAAAAAATTATAATTACTTATTTTCACAAAACAGAAAAATTATTTATGGCCGGTATTCATAATCCGATCTTATATTTAAGATAAATCTTAAATACTATCTTAAGATGTCATGAACCCATCATAGAGCTGTATTCGCATCTTCTAAAACATTATTTAAGACGGTCTTGAAATAAGATTCGACTATGAATATCGGCCTATGTTTTAATTACTAATTATGTTCTAATGAACAATACAGACTCAACGATTGAATGCTTATTAAATAATATTACAAGTTAGCATAAAAAATATCTTCAAAATTTCAAAGAATATATATATATATAT